TTTCGTACTGCAGACCTCAGCGCACGTTGATTCATGCGTTAATGACGATACTCCTCAACAGCACTTTGTCTGTTTTTCTTTTGAATCGTCTTTAGCTTGTATCATGGATGCGGTTGCCGCTTTCGAAGCTGCTTTAAAAGGCCTTGCTACGAAGGATCTGGACGATGGAAACACGTCTGCTCCTTCCCAGCCAGAGCCAGAACGACCTGCGAGCGCACCTAAATGTATTGCTAACAAAGATCCCCCCGAAGCCCTTCCCAAGGAAGATATATTAATGAGTGCATTAATCTCCGCAGGCATCGCTCCCTCGTCATTATCCCAACCCTCCACAAACTTAACGCCAGTGCGAAGCGCGCCCGTGATTCACTCGGCTCAGTCTCTCGGTGCCTCCACTTTGAAGGTCATCAGGACGAACGGCAACAAAGTTGTAAGGATAACCGCTGCCGAAGAGCCTTTGAACACCACAAATGTTGCCAGCCCCCGGATGGCTAGTCAGCTAATTCAAAAGCTGCCAGGTGGAGTCGGCTGTAATTTGAACAATATACAGTCAGTTCGCCTCCCAACCATAATCAGGAAAAGACCCAACAGCGAGCAAGCTGCACTTCCACCAGTAAAATTCTTTCGCCGGGACCACAACCTCGCACCTCAATCTACACATAGTGAAGGTTCCCAAGATGTCTCCCAGAACAGAGTTATTTTCAACAGCCAGCGATTCTCTCAGACTCCTGTATACCCGCCTTACTCAACGATTACCAAGGTCCCTTTCTTAAGAGTATGTACTTTTTCAGTGCGAGTACTTGGCTTTGAAACTAATCGCTTTTTCTTATCGCAACTAATGCCTGTCCCGTCAGACCAGGGTTTTGTTATTGGGTTCTCTGGTTTACTTGCGTTTATAGTAGGGACGCCAAATCGTCCGCGAAACAGTTAGTCGGACTTTCGGAGTTCTATTGCCATACAGCCAAGTCTTGGCTCGTGCGCGTTCTTTTGTCACCTCTGGCGATAGTGAGGACTGGGAACGATAATGCAATATCGTTTGCTGCCTTTTCTATTAACCGAAAATGTTCGAAGGTGGCCAAGCACATTTTAAACTGATCAACTCACTCAACGGTTACAGTAACTCTATGCAAACTCCTTGGATGATATTAAATAGTTCGACCGCCGCATACGAATAGGTTCACCAATTCCGACGAAAATTTCGTGGTGGCTTGTGCTTGGATTCGTTTAGAGTGCAGTAGAATTGAACAGCATCTGCCCTTTGCTTCTTGTGCCGGCTGTTCTCGGATGACAAGACAAAGTCATCTCTAAATGGGCTTTGGCGCCGTGACCGGCATAGCTTAAAAGCGTGTATACGCGTCCATACGATATTTTATTTTACTCCTCTTTAACAAGATTTCAAAGGGCCAGCAGGCCTCGGAACTCACAAATATAATTAATTTAGCTATAACGTCAGAAAAGTTGTTATGGTTTGACTCTCGATCGCTCTTTCGGGTTAAATGGATAAACTAACCACAAACACTATCGACAGAATACATTCAATCAAGTTATTTTTCTTAGCACACAGTCCATGCGTACAGAGCGGTTTCCTTGGCGCGGTTCTCGTATATTAGTAACCCATCTTTAGGCAGGTCGAACACTGATCTTCGGAGCTTTGATATAATCGGACGGAAACTGCATGTCTGGTCGACCACATAGTTACTCTTTTGACGGAACATCCGGCACGAGACGGCAGTTGCCAAAAAGTTCAGTCTTCACCATGGTCTTAATGGGCCGATGTATCTCTTCAACCGGTAGTCTTCTGAACCTCATCGAAAGCGTCTTGTGTCTATAATTGCCCATAGGGAAGAGCTGAATGGGGCTTATTGTTCTTCGTCATCCCGACCCTCTCCCCCTCGTCTCGTCTTTTACCGGTATCAAGTCCGAGCCAAACTGGCGGATAATGTGGTTGGCTTCAGTGGCTGGGCTGCCGTAAAGTTGCCGTTCACACGGGCTCGGATTTCCTACGTCAGACTCCACAAATATCATATAAAGGAGCCACCTTCGTTCTCAAGGTGGATTCAGTTAGTCCGCCGACCGCTAGGTGTTTTCGCATGCTGTGGTAATTTAGAGTACGTTAGATTCTCGTGAGCAATGTGTCAAATTGCTGCGGAGAGGAGTAACTCACCTAGTACCTCAGGCATTCCCCTCTTATCCAGCACGGTCAGCCTTCCGACGGACGAAGAGTTAGATACAATGAGGCCTCAGTTTAATGCACGCATGTAGGACAGTAACAAATCCATGCTAATTCCGTAAAGCCTCGGCCCTTACGAGGTGCACGGAATCTAGCAACCTATTTAAGATCCAACGCCCCCTGTGGTTCGTCGGTAGGCAGAAAGTCGAGCTAGCCTATGCAGGAAGAACCCTGCGGACACCTATGTGGGCAGGGCACGCTAAATATAGACATGAGAAGGCCTTAATAACCTCTAGAAGCAACCTCCTAAATGTCGATCGGGTTCAGCTCCGCCTACATCGCAGTTTATTATTTACTGAACACCGGTTCTGCTGCTTGGAGATTCTCAGTGCCAAATAATATAAGCGTGGTGTTTTTTGCCTTATACATGCCTTTGGCTGTATCTAATAATTCTCGGTTCTCTATTTTTATCCACAGAAACCTCTGCGGTATACAGTTGCATAAAATTAAGTAGTCCGAATTCTTTTGTTTCCCGGAATGTCGCTGAAATCTATAGGTCTTATTCGTTGTTTGTGAATTTGTAAATTTTAGCTTATTTATATTTTCTCATTGTTATTTCGTTAAAGTACGACGATGCCGACGAGGATGACACCGACGATCTTGCTCAGGCGGAGACTTACGCCGAATATACACCTGCGAAACGTACGCAATAACATTTTCCTTTCTTACGATTGGGATTAACTTGGTGAACTTTTTCTCGCCCGCTTGTGTGTCAATTACAGCTGACACTAGTCGCTTATTGGCTTAGCATCCTATGACACTATTGTTTGATGCACCAGATATGTGTGAGTTGACATGTTCAACTAAACTGTCATGGTGCAAAATCGAAGCCTGCCGGAACACCAGGACCTTTGTACCAGAGTTGAGTACAAAAGGTAGTTTAGTTCCACACACCAAAACAGTCAGATGTTCACATCGTCACATGTTTGGAAAAGTTTATTCTGTGTGAGTGGTACCCTTTTCATTTTGTTATTTATACGCTATTTCATAATTTTTAATGAACAGCCAATGCTTTATAGCCACAAATCCAGATTTGAAACGTTTGCCCTTCTTTTCATGTATCGAATCGCAGCCATCAAGTATCCACAAAGTT